AGCCTTTCCCCAGAACCAGACATTCAATGTTCTGAGCATAATATCTCTTCTCTGGATTGATTCCTGTAATACAGGAATGCTTTACTTACATCTTAACTGGAACAACTCTCAAAATGCAATCTTCTGGAACAGAAAACTTTACAGTTTGATCATGGTTTTCTGTGATGCTGACAGTGAAATACACAGCGGCACTGTAAATGGTGGAATGAGCTCTCAGCACACCTTCTTACACTGTCATTATTTTCTGATAAGAGGGCACTGCCATGATCACTGGTGATTTCATTTATTCAAAGGGATTGCTACGTGCAAAGGATAAAAAAGGAAATAAACATGAGGCTGCATTTGTCCCAAATCTACACTCACTGTCTGGCCTCGGTTTCTCAAGATTGTGACATGGAATTGAATAAGTATTGGAAAAGGGTTGAGTTTAAAAGGGCATGAAGAAAGCACCGATTTGCACCGAATGGACAATTTGCAAGAGTCCAAATGCCAAACAATCAGCTCTCTCCTCTCATGCAGTATAAATGGTGCTTTCCCCCTATATTGGCGTTCTTGCGAATTGTCTTGATGAGTGGAAATGGAAAGCTTCAACAAAATGTGTCTTTTTCCAGCAATACTTGAGTTCTGTAAGACCAAATGACAAATTGTTCAGCCAATTAGCCTTCAAAATAATCATACCTGCTGCCTGTATTTCCTTATGGCAGATGTTATAAATGATGTAGAATGCAATGCAGCCATGGGAAATCACAAAACAACATGTCAATAAACAACTCTCCCTAAACCAGCATCAATGCTTTCTGTCTGACAACACATTATAGACTAATTAAACTCTACATGCAGGAATAAAAACAGATTGAAGTAGTCCTGACCCACAGATTACTTTATGATGAAACTGAACATAATTACATTGTAAATTTTAAGCAAATAAAATGATTCATGCTGCACATACAGCCAAATCTGTCTCCCACAGGTCGTGACGAACTGTACACATTTCAGTGTAGAATTTGATAATTATGGGCAAATGAGATTATGTCTGTTCAGTGTGAACCACTAAAGAAAAAAATAACTGAAAGGCAAATGGAACACAAGGCAAAAATAGCAGAGGGTTTCCTTATTGCAATACGAACAAAAATCACAGATACCAGCCCAAGAGGTTACTCAACCCATCATGTGTGTACTAGTTTTTTAAAACTCCATCTTTCCATACCTTTGTCCATATCCGATTATACTCAGCCCCTTTCCAAATTCAATTCCATTTCACAGTGAAATTTGCACTGTCTGGCACGCAACAAGACTGGATGGTGCTGGTAAATTTAAAGTGCTGGTTAACCCATTGTGGTTCATGGTAAATTGAACAAAAATGTGACTTACACTGCAACTTACAGAAGCCCAGAGGTTCCCCAACTGTGACTCTTTCTATTGTAAAAGCTGAGGAAAAATTACTTCAGTCTTCAGCTAGTTCATCTGCAACTAGCTGAGACTGACAACATCACTATTTGCTGCAGTAACAGTGCCTCCTGGTTGTGTGGAGGGGAGTCGATATAGAAGATTTCAGTTGGTGGGGTGTTGGATAACATAAATTGCTCTGTAATTTGTTCTCTAGTGTCGATTTTATGCCAGTATTAAAATTCTGTAACTCCAACTGCAGGGATTGAAGTGAATTACCTCAAAGGCTAAATATGTTCAAATAATCCTCTCTTGTGAAGACTCCTCTAACATCCTTTATCATTCCCCTGTCCATAACATTGAGACTACGCCCTCTAGTTATTGATTTATCAGTCAGCAAAAATAATTCTCCACTAACCCATTATCTTTCATCTATTTAAACTCCTCTAAATTCCTCTCTGTTCAAGAGAATTAAAGAGCAACTTCTCAAGTCTTGCTCAAAGCTTAAATTCTGGGTATAATTCTAGTGACCCTTCACTGTGCTCTCCTCCTGCCTCTAATTAAGTTTCTCTTAATGGGGCTTGCCAGAGCTATATTTGATATTTCTTTCCACAAGCTGACCTGCATCTATCTCATAAAAAAATTAACAATAATTTTTAGGGCTCATATTTAATTTCCTCCTGATTGAATTTAGGAATTCCATTTGCCTTCTTTACAATTTTAATTTCCCAGTTAAATATCTGTGCTCCCAAAGTTCTCACTGCTCCCTTGTCTATATGTTTTACGTTTTAGTGATGTTTTCTTCACCGTATATTGATAGCATTTTTCCTGCAATGAGTGCTGCCTAGCGCCTTTTTTGCTTCAATCTTGCTGAGGACTTAAATAAAATTGTTCATTAGGACCTCAGTTTCTGTTTCATGTTCTTTGATTTGTTGCTTTGATCCATTTCAGATTTTAAAAATGCCGCCAGCTTTTGCTTTATCTTTTGTTTATGACCTGTAGCCTTTCTGCCCTCTGCTAAAATAAATGCAGAATCTCAGTGTTCAGTTTAAAATGCGTATGTGGACTTAAAACCCGAGAGAACTTTGCCAAGCTCAGAATCAATCCACTATCTTGATGATTGTTCCTCACTGTTTACGGTGCTTCCTAACTTGGTACAAGCAGCAAACTTCAAAGCTACTGCTTTTGGGTGTCTGTCCAAACATTTTATATAAATGGAAAACAAAGGAGGTGGCACCACAGATCTGTAGGACGTACCGAAATCCCAGCAACTCAAATGATATTTGACTCCTCTTCCTAGACCCTAACCATAACTTACATAATAATCTTCTCATTTGGCATCTTATTAAGGTGCCTTTTAAAATTCAACAAACAAAATATTCCTCAAATACTCTTTCATCCACACGAATTGTGATTTCCACCTATTCAATTAGATTATTTAAGCACTATCTGCCCTGTAATTGGCTGTTCACACAGTAAACAGTTACAATAGCAATAAATATAGACTATCAAATCATACTATCAAACTTGAGCATCTGAACTGAAAGTATAGTTTTATCTGAAGACATCAAACCAGGTGATTTCTGATGTATAGGATAATTTCACAGACTGGAAGATGAATGGTTTGCTTGCCAAATTGCCAGATTGTAAAGACAATGGAGCTCGGCTCTGTAATACACACTGAAATGTATTTCAATAGCTGCTTTTAAGCAGCAGTACAGAGAGAAGGTAAAGCGAATTTATGGTAATAAGAGCAGGAACTCTGTCTCTCCCTGAATGTTTCTGTCATCATCTCAGAATTTTGTTATCAAAAAGCAACTTGGGAAAACAACCATTTCCTAAGAACACAAAGATACTACAGACTTCACACAAACCAAGGATAAAAGCCCATTATTGAACAACTGTGGTCACAGATTCAGAAACTAACACTTCGAGGAATATATGGACTGGTTATCTGCATTAACCTTTATTCTCCCCGTCTGCAAAAGATTCTCTCCTTTTTAAACTTGTTACCTATGATCATGTGCATGTTTGATGTCATGTTTTTTTTTCATGGAGTTAATAAATAGTAAAAGATTTCTTTCTTTCATTCAAAAACAACTTTGGTAAATGGTTCCTTTGTTTTCAAGAGAACTATATGTTAATTGAAACCCAATAGCTGCTTAAAAAATAGTATTTAATGTGACCAGCTGAGAGAGCAGTTAAAAAGAGGGGAGTTGATTCCCCCTCCTTACCTGGTCATAACAAGTTAAAAAGCACCTTCAAACTTGAACACTGCATTGTGATCAAATACACACACACTTTATATCAGTTAACACTGACACAAATCCTATTCCCTGTTTAGTTGAAGCCTTCACTTACTATACAGCTGCACGCTGCAATGGGAGCACAGTGGAGATTAACATTCTGAAAAGACAAAAGCACACAGGCCACTGGGACATATACATCCATCCTAGGTTGGTCATGGAGTCAGGAGGTGCCTATACAAAGGCATGCTTGGGGAAATAAATTGTCATTCAAGGAGAATAGTAAAAACACTCTAATCTCAGGTGTCCGAGAGAAAGTTTGTGATTCATGTTATCTAAGCCCTTAAACTGGATGACAGCATTCAGCTGAAGAACAAGAACAAATTACAGTACAGTATAGGAACAGGCCCTTTGGCCCACCAAGACTGTGCTGACAAATGATGCCTTTCTAAATTAAAAATGTTTTGCCTCCATGCAGTCTGTATCCCTCTATTCCCTGTCTATTCACATATCAATCAAGATGCCTCTTACACATTACTATTTTATCTGCTTCTATGTTGCTTGGTTTGGAGAGTATTAGTTATGAGGAGAGATTGGACAAACTCAGTATGTTTTTACCTGAATGCCGAAGGATGAGGGTTGACATGATAGAGGTTTACAAAATTATGAGAGACATGGTTAGAATGGATGATTGGAATCTTTTTCCCAGGGGAAAAATGTCAGTTACTAGGGGCATAGGGTTAAGGTAAAAGGGGATAAGTTTAAAGGAGATGTGAGAGGGAGGTTCTTTACATTGCTATTCTATCTGCTTCTACCACCTCCTCTGGCAACACATTCAAAGGCACCTACCATCATCTACGTAAAAATCTCCCTCTCACATCTCCTTTAAACTTATCCCCTTTTACCTTAACCTTATGTCCCTGGTAATTGACATTTTCCCCCGGGAAAAAGATTCCAATTATCCGTTCTATCCATGTCTCTCATAATTTTGTAAACTTCTATCATGTCACCCCTCATCCTTCGACATTCAAGTGAAAACAAACTGGGTTGGTCCAATCTCTCCTCATAACTAATATTCTCCAAACCAAGCAACATGCTGATAAACCACTTTTGTACCCACTCCAAAGTCTCCATCTCCTTCTTGTAGAGTGGCCACCAGAACTGTACACAATATTCAGAACGTGGCCTAACTAAAGTTCTATACAGCTGCAACATGTAAAATTGTCCATTGTTCCAAACCATTCTTCGACCAACTCATGACTCAAGTACCGAATGCTAGTATAAACGGCAAGGCCTTCAGGCCAAACCTATTGCCTTTCAATACTGCTGTTATTTGTTGAGGATCATCACTTGAAGGTGGATACTCACTCAGGGGCAGGTAGGCTGTCATCATCAGATGGATTGGCCTCGTCCTCTGATTGATCACTTAAGAGGTCACATGGTAAGATGACAGCAGTGTCAGCGATCTCCAGGACAGGCCCGATGCTGGGCCTCCTACTTCCTGCTCCATTTTCTGAAGGCAAGGTCAATGTGGCGCCACTGGATGAGCGGCACTCTGTGTTCTGTAGATCCATAGCGACAGTGCCTGGAAGGGAGAGAAGAAACAAGGGTTTGAAACATCAGTGCGGTCACAGCCAGTTAAGCGTCACCACTTAAGAATGGTCACCAAATCAGAAGGACACGAGCTACCACCTTCAACTCAAGATGTAGACTGCTTTCTCCTCAGCCATGAGGAAATGTTGCTCGTTCTAGTTTCAGTAAGATCATAAGGTCTGGACAGAGAAGATAGGAAGGAATAGCTCCCAGTGGTAAAAGGATTGAGAATTGGAAGGTGCTGATTTCAAATGTTTGACATCAAGCACTCAAAGTTGACATGTACCAAACCCTTCTCACACAGTGTGTGGTTGGAAGCGGATGCAGCAGAAACGTTAATAATGTTTCTGATGTGAGAGGATTTGCTAGGCTACAGGGAAAAGACAGGGAGGTGGGAGGAAATTAATTGGACTGGCAGAGAGCCAGCATGAGACATGATGGACTGAATGGTCACTTTCTGCATTGTAACTGTTCTATGTTTAGTTCTGAGGAAGGGTCACTCGACTCGAAACGTTAACTGTGATTTCTCTCCACAGACGCTGCCAAACCTGCTCAGCTTTTCCAGCAATTTCTATTTTTGTAATTATTCTATGCTTCTGTTTATGGGCACTTCGTTATTGTAGCCTCTTAAATCTGGCTTTTCTTGGTTTGACAAGGTTTCAAAGGGGAAAATAAAGGAAACTGCAATAATTATTTCGCAATTTCTTAAAAAAAAACTACTCCCAGTGCAGAGTGGAAGTTTAGAAACTTGAAAAATCGGAGCAGGAGTAGGCCATTTGGCCTTTTGAGACTGTTCCCCCAATTCAATATGATCATGGCCAATCATACAACTCAGTCCCCAGTTCCTGCTTTTGCCCATCTCCCTTGATCCCTTCAGCCCTGAGAATTACATCTAACACCTTCTTGAAAACATTCAATGTTTTGGCCTCAACCAATCTCTGTCATAGTGAACAAACTCTTTGAGTGAACAAATTTCTCCTCATCTCTGTCCTAAACAGCCTACCCTGTATTTTTAAACTGTGACCCCTTGTTCCGGATTCCCCACTCATCAGGAATATTCTTCCAGTGTTTATCCTATTTCTATGAGATCTTCCCCCATTTGTCTAAACTCCTATTGTCTTTATCAAAAGAAGGCAGAATGACTAAAGACGTGGAAATTTGGGCATACAGCTCTGGTTCAATCTCCATTTGGAGTCTTGTGTTCAGTTCTGGGCACCTGACCTCACGAAGGACATACTGACCTTTGAAAATAAAATGATACCCAGGTACAGTAGATTAAACAATAAAGGCAGGGCACACAGACTAGGCTTGTTGTTCACAACACCATTTTGAAGAAGGGTCATTAGATCCAAAACATTAACTCCAATTTCTCTCTACAGATGCTGCAAGACCTGCTGAGATTTTCCAGCAATTCCAGTCATAGTTTCAGATTTCCAGCATCCACAGTTCTTTCGGGTTTTTTAAGGTGGAAAATTCTGTGGATATGGAAGATGTCAGAGGTAGGTTCTTTACACAGAGAGTGGTGGGTGCATGGAATGCACTACCAGCGGTGGTAGTAGAGTCAGATACATTGGGGACATTTAAGCAACTCTTGGATAGGATGATAGTAAAATGTAGGGTATGCAGAGTAGTTTGATCGTAGAGTAGGACAACATCATGGGCTGAAGGGCCTGTACTGTTCTATGTTCTATGAAGGGTTTATCTCATTGGGATATTTAAGATGACTAAAGAAGTTTATGGAGTAAACAGCAACAAACTAGTTCTGTTGATGGGCAACTCCAGAAATCGAGGGTTTGGATTTGAAATTAGAACTGGATCGTTCAGGGATGAAGTCAGGAATGGCTTCTTCACAATAAAGGGCAGTAGAAACCTTGAACTTTCTCCCCATTAAAGGCTGTTGAGTTTAAGAGTGAATTGAGAAATTTCAAAACTGAGACTGATGGACTTTAGCTAGGCATGGGCTTTAACAATTACAGAACCAGGGGCACAGGGCAAATTGGATTAAGGTATGGATCTAACCGAATGTCAGAACAGGTTTGATGGGTTGAGTAAGTTACTGTTGTTTCCAAGTGATCTGTATGAGCAAGTAAGATGTCCCTGACTCCTGCCTAGTGCTTGTTTTATTTTACCAAATAAGCTGAAGCTAATCGTGAGAATTTACCAGACCCCAAATTCTCTACAGTAACAGAGGGAAATATTTATGACGGAAATTTTTGCCTGGTATCCTCTGCAAATACTTCTGTTATTTCCGAGAGCTCAATGGCACAATAACAATTGGTAAAGAAGTAAAATAACCCAAGATGCTGCATGGGAACATTATCACCTGAAATGAAACATTGAGCCAGATATTAGGACAGCTCCATGGGAGGTCACTATAAAGGACTTTCCTTCTCAACCTCTCCCCTTGGCTGAGGAGTGGTGACTCTCAGGTTAAACCATCGCCAGTCATCTCTCTCTCTCTAATGAGAGAGCAGCCCAATGATCCTCTTGGACTATGACAACTTTATCTTTTTGCCTAAAATAACTTCCAGTTTCATGGACCACCTTGAAGGAGGAGAAACGTTATAATAGGTCATACTACATACAAATCATTAACTCTGTTTCTCTCTGCACAGATGCTGTCAGATCTGAAGAAGGGTCCCGACCCGAAACGTCAGCTTGCCTGCTCCTCTTATGCTGCCTGGCCTGCTGTGTTCCTCCAGCTCCACACTGTGTTATTGTTGTCAGACCTGCTGAGTTCCTCCAGCATTCTCTGTGTTTGTTTCAGATTTCCATCATTGTCAGTTTAGACAGGAATTATAAGGAACTGATTGACTTTGCTATGTTGTTAGATGGAGAGAATGGTCTTAGAATCATAGAATAGTATTATTTTACAGTACAGAAGGAGGCCATTTGACCTATCGTGTCTGTACCGGCTCCTGAAAGAGCTACGCAGCTAGTCCCACTCTCTAGCGCTATTTCCATAGCCCTCTAAACTCATCACTTTCAAATATATTTCCGGCTCTCTTTTGAAACCTCCTATGGCATCCACCTCCATTACTCTCCCAGGCAACACATTCCAAATCCTAACAACCTCTAAGTAAAGAAGTTTCTCCTCATCTCACTCTCTTGCTGACAATCTTAAGACCATAAGACATTGGAGCAGAAATTAGGCCATTCGGCCCATCGAGTCTGCACCACTATTCAATCATGGCTAATAGGTTCCTCAACCCCATTCTCCTGCTTTGTCCCCGTAACCCTTGATCCCTTTGATCATCAAGAACCAACCTATCTCAGTCTTAAATGTACTCAATGACCTGGCCTCCACAGCCTTCTATGGCAGTGAATTCCGTAGATTCACCACTCTCTGGCTGAAGAAGTTTCTCCTCATCTCTTTACTCTAAGGCTGCACCCTCAGGTCCTAGACTCTCCTACCAATGGAAGCATCTTCCCAACATTCATTTTGTCCAGGCCATTCAGTATTCTGAAAGTTTCAATTAGATCACCCCTCATCCTTCCAAATTCCAAAGAGTATAGTCCCAGAGTCCTCAAACGTTCCTCATATGTTAAGCTTTCCATTCCTGGAACCATTCTTGTGAACCTCCTCCGAACCCGCTCTAGGGCCAGTACATCGTTCCTGAGATATGGGGCCCAAAACTGCATACAATACTCCAAATGTGGCCTGACCAGAGCCTTCTAAAGCCTCAGTAGTACATCCCTGCTTTTATATTCAAGTCCTCTTAAAATAAATGCCAACATTGCATTTGCCTTTCTGACTACTGACTCAACCTGCAAGTTTACCTTGAGAGAATCATGGACTAGAACTCCCAAGTCTCTTTGCACTTCAGACTTCTGAATTTTCTCCCCATTTAGAAAATAGTCCATGCTTCTATTCTCCTTACCAAAGTACATGACCTCACACTTTCCCACGTTGTACTCCATCTGCCACTTCTTTGCCCACTCTCCTAACCTGTCCAAATCCTTCTGCAGCCTCCCCACCTCCTCAATACTACCTGTCCCTCCACCTATCTTTATCTCCACAATCTTGAAATTGTAGCCCCTAGTTAGTGACCTACCAACTAGTGGAAATGGAATATCCTTCTTTAGTGTGTCAAAAATTGTTCATAATGTTGAACACTTCAATGAGGTCACCTCTTAATCTTCTCTTCCCCAAGGATAACAAGCCCAATCTCTCTAATCTTTCCTTATATCTAAAATCCCTCATTCCTAGTTTCATTCTAGTAAAACTCCCTTGAACTCTCTCCAGGGCTTTAACATCCTTCCTTAAATAAGGTGCCCAAAACTGAACACAACACTTCAAATTTGATCTGATCAATGGTTTGTAGAGGTATATCATCACTTCCTTGTTTTTATACCTTATGCTTCTATTTATAAACCCAAGGAACCGACAAGCCTTCTTAACAAAAACCGAAAGAACTGCGGGTGCTGTGAATCAGGAACAAAAACAGAAGTTGCTGGAAAAGCTCAGCAGGTCTGACAGCATCTGTGAAGGAGAAAACAGAGTTAATATTTCGGGTCCGGTGACCCTTCCTGAGAACTTCTGAGGAAGGGTCACCGGACCTGAACGTTAACTCTGTTTTTTCCTTTAAAGACGCTGCCAAGCCTTTTAACAATTGGTCAATCAGTCATCACCTGACTGGCTCATTCTACATGGCAATGCTTCCACCAATCAGCACTGTGAAACTGAGGAAGATAAAAGCTTCAGCAACGAGAATCTGGTTTACAGATGTTTTATTGATACACAGAACTCCTGTGTTCCAGATATAGATTGCAAATGATCCTTTAACTGCACTTTAAGCATATGTATATCTATGCAGTAAAGGTGATTTGTCACTTTAGCAATGTCCCTTGCACATTATTTCCTATCAGGGGGTCAGTTAGTGATGCAGAGTGATGCCAACAGGAGGGAAACAACTCACACACTGGCTGAGGTCACCATGAATGTCCCAACTTCTCAACCTCTCCCCTCGGCTGAGGCGTGGTGACCCTCAG